GATAAGCCAAGGTTTCTTCTTCGCTTCTCGAGGGATTGGCGTTCTGAGTCTCCTGCGCTAGCTACAATAGTGCTTGCTGCTGCATTAGACGCGGACAAGTGTCAAACCGCGGGAGCGCGCAGCATGCACCGTTTCGACTGCTGATGAGCGTGGATTGGGCACCCGACAGAACGTGACTCATGAAGGCGACAATTTCTGGCTACCGGACTAGTTTCCCAGACTGCGCGACCCTCCCCGAGCGTGCTGATGTCTTAAACGTAGGCTGGCCAGGCCTTGAGCTTATTGCGGACGAAGTCATCTTTGACGAGATCTGGTCGCATGGCCAGGTTCTGCGACACCTCGGTCGCACTGGAAGCGCGTAAACTGTTCTACGTTACGCAGGGCTACGAAAGCCGAGGCACCTTGGGCAGCAGGCCACCCACTTCAAAAATGTTGTCCAACACCTCCTTTGCGCAAACCTCAGCACTACATAAATAGATCCTACTGACTTCTACACGACTACTCACAGCATCCCTAACTTGGCCAGGGCAACTAACTTGATCTGCAAATCCTCCGTGTTGGATGCTGCCTCCATGACAAGGAAGAGCCTGGATATCCTTGGCTGCCCAGCAGTCCGGCAAACTGTTACAGAACGTCCTCTGCAGTCACGGAGCCCCTTCAGCAGAACGGTAGTCCGTTCCAGCATTGCCTTCATTTCGTGGCTGCTGAAGTCAGTCCACTTCGCCTTGGTCGTCGCACCCACCTGTCCTGCTGTCACCGATGCCCAGCCCCAAGTTTCCGGCAACTTTTTCTTCCTTTGGCTCCTCCTTGCCGCCCCACAGAGCATTGACTCCTGCTTCAGGTGACGTGACTGAACCCAAGTTCGGGGACCAAACGGCCCGTCAAGTCCTCTGCTAACCCACTTCGCGACAGTGAAGACGGTGCCGCTTAGTCTCTGATGCTTGTTCATGGTGTCCTGAGATCCAGCCAAGCTCTTGCTTGCAGCGGCCAGACCACGAAGAAGAGCCCAGCCAAGCAACTATGAACCACTGCGCGGCTCCGATCTTCTCCATGGCGCCAGCATCATCATCCCAGAAAGTCCGGAGCCCGATCCTGGAATCTTACCGAGACATGGCAGTCCAAAGCCGGGCTCAGCAAAGCGCCGGGGCTCATCGACGCGTTTGCCGGCTTCGTCAGGGCAGCAACAGGGCACGCCCCGACTTCCTCCATGACCTGCAGCAGAAACTGGACTTCCAGATGGAAGCGGAGGCAGCAAATGAAACCTGCCTTCGCCTCGCTCGCCTCCTCAGCCTCCAGGTCTCAGAAAACTGAGAGAATCAACTCAGAGATTAGATCGTCAGGACGAGCTCTGCACATCCATGTGTCGTAATCGTGCCTTCTTGCTGGTCGCATAGCACCCCTTTGGTCTCTTCAAGGAGATGGTCTTTTTCAGTCTCTCCTGAAGTCGTATGCAGGTTACGCTTGTAACCTGTACCGTTGTACAGGTGACACTCAACGACAGGTCGACGTGATCCATGCTTCCGGGATCCTTTGGGAACTCGTAGCTGGAGATAAAGTGCTCGTCCAGCCAGGCACCAAGCGGTTCTCCGTCCGCCTGCATCTGCTGGACACAGTTTATCACAAAGCCAGCCATGAGCTCAGCCTTGATGTGGACCATGTTGTCGTCTTCTACTCTCGTACCCACGCACTCCATGCGGAAAAAGATCTTCTGGATGAAAGACTCATCCTGCGAGGATGCCAGGTTACCAACATGTAAGTGTCCCTGCGGTGACGCCCGAGCCCACGTTGTACACCGACGGATACCGCAAACCTCTAAACCATACGAGGGGCTGGTGTATTCGGCCTGGGGCCTACTTGCTGCTTCCAAACTGTCTCTTGCAGCCGTGCACAGCCGGTCCGAGAGTTTTTCTTTCACATCTTCCTCACCTCGGCCAGGAAACCATCGGCTGGCCGAAGGCCACTGCGGCTTTCTGAGACGACGGCTTTGGTTCGCGAGATCCTCAAAAGTTCTGCTCGCCCAGGTAATGGGGTCCCCCTGTGTCGCCAGGTACCAGCTCTCTTTGTCACCTCAACAGTCACGAAAGACACAGTCGGCCCGGAAATCACCTTGCAGCACCCAGCACCCATCTCTCAAGATGCCATTTCTCAGAAGAGCGGCTCTCCTTGTCCAAGCACCGATAGAGGAAGGAAGACAAATCGGCCTGCAGCATCATGCAGCACGCGTGCAGCATGCATGTAGCGCAGAACACAAAGTGTCAGAGGAGGCCTTTTTGAAGATCTTGCCTGTTGAACGACGGTCTTACAATTTACATGCCACCCCGGCAAGTCAGGTGCACTCGCAACTAAAATTGAGCAGAGAAACTAATCCGCACAGGAGCATGCCAGTAGTTCCTGCGAGGCACCACAGACGCGGCCAGGGCGTTTTGCACTTCTGGAATTTGCTTATCACGCCAGGAAGAAGCACACGACAGTTTGGACAACCCCTGTCGAGTAATGGATGTTCTGGTTCTTGATCAGAGAAGGCTTCATGCTCTTGACCAACCAATTGGGCAAAACCCGCTCCAATCCTGGCAAGACCAAGACCAGCTGCTTCCTCTTCAATGCGCAAGGCTTCACCCGGGATCCGAGACCCGGACCTTTGGAAATCTTGTGTGGAGGACGCAACCTTGGTGTTAGACATGCTGAAGAAAGGCGGCGCACCGGTCCTCGGCATCTGCCGCCAAGAAGCGGCAGCCAATCATAAATACCCTCGAACTTCTCCAGGCGCTCATAGCGCTGTTCCTCCTTTTCGAGGGATCCAACCTGTCCAAGTCTATTGAACACACAGACACACAGTCTCAAGTCGGCTCAAAGTCGCTGGCCTTCTTGCTGAGTTCAGATAGCTCTGTGGAGGTTGGATCTTCCTGCGCTTCTGGAACTGCAAGTCTCTTCACAGACATGCTAACATTGCTGCGATGGAGCCGGATGCCCCGTCGCCCTTGAGCATCCCAACGCCCTGGACGGCCTTTCGAAGAAGCGCAAGTCGATGCCGCTTCACCGCCAGCTCAGTGCGGAACTCCTTGGCGAAAGAGCAAACCTCGCGTCCCTGTGCTTCAGTCATCTTGACTGCGCTGCAGTTGGGACGCTGGTCGCACGAAGTGCACATACCGAGCTTCACAGCCACAGTACTCCTTCAGACAGTGCTGAAGTGGATATACAGAGATTCCGTGTCCTGACGGGGGCCCTGTCCTTGATGAAAGTCAACTTCGGGTTGCTTTTCTTGTAGCTATCCCTGTCCTTGGCAACTAGGCAGACTTGACTCTTGAAAACGCCGTGGCCGAAAGGGCGTCCAGGCCAAGGTTCCAGTTTCACTTCGTCCGGATGGCTGCCGGAAACCTCCGCGTTGCCGCGGATCAGCCAGCACTGCGCTTTTCCCTGCGCAACATCGGATCCCGGGATCCCTACAACTCGCCTCGAACTGTCTCACGAGCGAAGCTGCCATGGGGTCGCGGACGTGCTTACGATTTACGGTCTGTTCTCATCTCCTTCGTTTTCTTCCAGATAGGGAAAGGAGTGCAGCAGGGCAGAGGCTGTGCCGGCGAAAGGAGGCACTGCCACGTCGGAAGATCCGGGCCACGAGTATAAGTGCAACCGCCAAACAGGGCAGAAGCCAGGCCTTCTCGACCTTGTCGTTGAAGGGATTGCGAATGACGTAGCCCAGGCACCTGCCTCCGTCACTGTCCATGGCATAGTTCCTGAATTGATCAAACTCAGATTGCTGGCGCGAACACGTGTCAGAATCAAGGCGAGCATCGCGCTGCAGAAGTTCTCGCAATCTGCTATTCCAAGCGAGGCCTGCGGCACGACCTCAAAAAAGCTGTGCCGATGACGCAGATGACTCTTATGAAACTATTGAGCTGGGCAAAGTCCAAGCTGCAACGACCCGGAACGCGCTGGATCGCGCTTCGTGGGAACACGAAGACTTGAGCTCGTTGTTGGGACAAAGGGCAATCAAGCCTCAGAAAGGGAGCAGACAAGCACCCTGCAGATCTGAATGCCTGCCGGAAGCGATTATTAAATTATGCCTGGGTGCTCTTGAAAGGAGGACGACCAGACGGCACGGCGGAGGGGAAGGAGGAATACCTTGGTACAGAACATGCCGGTGGTGCCGATCGCTACTTGCTGCATAGCTGCTTTATCTCGGAGGCCTTGATTTCCGTTACACTGGTCTGTAACAACCTTGCTAGCTTCAACTGCACAGAAGGTTCGCATAGAAAACAAGCGACGGAGCAGACTGGGCTTTTGCAAAGCAGCCAGCAGTGAGGCATCATGAAACTCAAGCCCTTCAAGTCCAGGCAATTTCGGCCACATGCATCACACCCCACGACATTCCACTGAGCACAGGGCTGGCAGCGCATGGCATCTCTCAACGCCTCGCTTGTCCTGACTGTGCCGGTGCCGGAGAGCGCAAGCTTCCGACGGCACCGAACGACCTGGCCCGCCTTTCGGCCTGAAGAGACTCCAACATCCTCGCTGTCCTGACTTCATCCAGTCGAGGCCTTGGAGTTCTCAGATGGGGTTTTGGGGACTTCACACCCAACGATATCGGAATCTGCGGCCACCACTGGGTGTCGAAACGGTATGCAGAGACTGCATGCAAGGCCAGGAGTAATGAAATGCCTGGGGCAAGAGAAACAGCGGAGAGATGAACCTTCCTTGTTGGTCGGACCTCGGGCGACCAAGCCCATGTGCTGCATTGGTCGAGCAGGAAGTGTATCCTTAGCAGCGAGCTGTTGTGAGAGCCCTTCCTGGCCTTTCCCGGAAACTGCGGCCAAGCCACTAGCAGACTGGCAGTCCACACATGTGGAAAAGCTGTGGGCCGACACGGCAAGAGCAAGCTCTCCCACATCTCTATGCAACATCCCCAGACAATGAGACTTACATACTTACCAAGTCCATTTTGCGGTGCCTGAGAGTAGCAGCTAAGCAGTCTCAGCAATCTAAACTCTCTGCAGGCCCACCTTCTTTGCAGTGTTGGTCGCGCGCTTCTGGTCAACCAGGGAAGCCTTAAAGCGAACACAGCACTAGCCGAGCGGAACTCCCGCCATCTGGCCCGAGATAAAGGGAAAGAGAGACACGGAGAGACGGAGAGAGACAGAGAGATGGACACAAACAGGAAGACGGAAAGAAAAGACATAAAGAAAGAAAAAGACGGCGAGAGGGAGGGGAGAGAGAGAGAGAGAGAGAGAGAGCCAGCGAGAGCTCGATAGCTCGGGCCTCGATGACTTTCCTCTGCTTGTCCACGACAACCCTCTGATCTCGGAGCTGGTTCAGCTCCTACAAGTAGCGGTGTGTGGGCCAGCGCCCGAACATAAGGCATCTCCGGACCGATTCAGGAAGTCACCGGGAAGCGAATAATGCGTTTGCCTATGACTCTATGACTTAGGCAAAGGTGCGACTGACCCAGAACCGGCAGGAACCGGTTGTAGTGATCCTTGAGCTTGGCATCCTTGCTGGATCCTTTTGCTTTCTTGTACCTGGCCAGCCACAGCTGCAGCAAGGACCGCCATGGGAACACGAAGCTGGAGCATGGGAACGATTCTCTCGATAGGGATGATTCATAACCATCCTCAGGGCACTCCTCATCCACCTTCTTGATCTTGCTGTCCAAACCGGAAATTTGGTTGATCAGATCTCTGTCTTTGCCCTGCGAGTGATGAAGCAACCACTGCCCTCTCGACATGAAGATTTCGAGCTCTGGTGCGTAGCGAAGCCGCCTCTGCGTCCTTCTTTTTCTGGTCGACCTCTTGCAGGGCCTGGCGGAAGGTCCGGGACCGCAGCATCTGTCGACTTGTGAGAATAGCTTCAGGCTCCAGTGCACCTTGGAGTACTTCTCCTTCAATTTCAGCCTGCGCGTAGATGACTCGGCCAGCTCCTTGCATTCAGACACTTGCCATCTTGTCCTTGCTTCTTGGGAGGAACCCGCCCAAAGAAACCACATCGCCAACCCTGCCGAGGCACCACGTCGGCAGGCTTCTTCACCTGCCAAAGAAACCGGAATCTGTCATTCGAGTTGGAACTCACCCGACCTTGGCTGGCGCACTGGAGCTGCGAGGCTTCTTCGCCTGCGACAAGTGGCGCTCGGATCCTTGGGGCAAAAGGGAGATGCGTCGGCCTCGGCAGCTGCCTTTGCTTCCGCCGCCTGCTCAGCTTTGACACGTTGGCTTGGACGGGGCTGAAGCGAAACTTCCGGTGTGTTCCCCGTTTGGCAAGTCAGTACAGAAATCGAAGCTGAACCTGGAATGCATTGTCCTTCCCGGCACCTGTCCCGAAGCAGCATGGCACCTTCTTGGCATCTGCTGCTGCCTTCTCCTCTGCAGCTTTCTTCGCCTGGCATCACCGACATCCGCAAAAAAAATGGAATCTTTGCCAGCAGGCCACCGGGCATCATTCTCCCGGGAAGCAATGGCTGCTGTGCCAATTTTGAGGGAAATGCTGTTGCGGCCTCGGCAGCTGCTCTCTCTGCTTTGGCCTGCTCCTCACGCGCCTGCACTTGAATCTAGACCGCACGATGCGCGCAGAGGACGGCTGGAGGCTTCACTGCTGTCACAACCCTACTCGCTCACAATCGCCTGGTTACACCTTGAAGCCTGAACGAACAAAGTTCTCTCTCTCTCTCTCTCTCTCTCTCTCTGTCTCTCTCTCCCTCTTACTTCAGGGGCTTGCAGTAACCCGGCAGCAAAACGGGAAAATTGTGCATGTCCTCGATCCCGAACCGAACAACCCTCGCACGAACACTTCCTGTCATGCACATGTACACACTGACCTGTACCTACACTGACACGTTACGCTGCTCATGATACAACACTTCGAAAACAACCGCAGTGGTGCTCATGCTTCAACTCAAACTGTCTCATGCGAACTTCTTCCAGGGACATGTCCCGAACCAGCATGGCACCTTCTTGGCATCTGCTGCTGCCTTCTCCTCTGCAGCTTTCTTCGCCTGGCATCACCGACATCCGCAAAAAAAATGGAATCTTGGCCAACAGGCCACCGGGCATCATTCTCCCGGGAAGCAATGGCTGCTGTGCCAATTTTGAGGGAAATGCTGTTGCAGCCTCGGCAGCTGCTCTCTCTGCTTTGGCCTTCTCCTCGCGCGCCTGCATTTGAATCTAGACCACATCGACACCAACGATATCATCTCCGAACAACCAGGGCAGCCAAGAATGCGCGCAGAGGACAGCTGGAGGCTTCATTGCTGTCGCAAGCAAACTCACTCACAATCACCGAATTACACCGCTTTGGATTGTGAGAAAAAGGGCTTTGGGGTCGTGCTCTTCATTCCAGCTCTATCTCTCTCGCGCACGCTCTGGCTTTGTCTCTATCTCTCATATCTCGGGGGCTTACAGTAACCCGGCAGCAAAACGGGAAAAGGGTGCGTGTCCTCGATCCCGAACCTAACAACCCTCGCACGAAAACTTCATGACATGCACATGTACAGACTGACCTGCACCTACACTGACACGTTACGCTGCTCATGATACAACACTTCGAAAACAACCGCAGTGGTGCTCATGCTTCAACTCAAACTGTCTCATGCGAACTTCTTCCAGGGACATGTCCCGAACCAGCATGGCACCTTCTTGGCATCTGCTGCTGCCTTCTCCTCTGCAGCTTTCTTCGCCTGGCATCACCAAAATCCGCAAGGGAGTGACAAACAGGCCACAATCCCTGTGACAAAATGGATCCTAGCCAAATTCGAGGGAAATGCGCTGTGGCCTCGGCAGCGGATTTCTCCGCTTTGGCCTTCTCTTCCCTTGCCTGCGCTTGGACAGCTCCGATGAAATTCATAAGAGGCGGTGGATGTGCTGTCCTGGATCACCGGACAACGAGTCACAAGCTATCTGTCGCATAACACCAACCGGTGGGAACTCGCTTGAGCATGCAGCCGGGCCATATCACCACAGGACAACCGTTTACCCCGGTTGTCCCTACACACATGAATGTGTTTCACCACAAGTTCTCATGCGCACCTGCTTCGCTTCTGCTGCCGCCTTCTCCTCCGCGGCTTTTTTGGCCTGTACAAGATCATGTCAGCAGCGTTTTCGACAAACACCTCGGAAGGGCAGACACCAGCTGCTATTTTGTGCCAGGTCCGAAAATTTCGATTCATCGCGGTCAAGCAAGCCATGGAACTGATCAGATACCCTGCCCCTGGAGGACAAGTGAACTTCGTGCAACGTTGACAAGTTGACACGTGACCCATGCCATTGGCAAGTATGTGAGATTGCGTTGCATGTGCAAAGACTGATTCAGGTGGCTGTCATGACACGAGAGAATTCCCATCGTTCTAGCGGTTATGACATGTTGAGGTCGGAGATTGCTTTGTTGGTGTACCGACTGATTCCCAACGCCCTCCCCCCGGCCCCCCGCAGCAAATTGGACATGGTAACAAATCGTAAAACAACACCGCGGTTGGGAGGGGCAGAATCTCTCCCGCCAAGAATCCTGCACTCCATCAGCCCCCCGAACAAGAACTCATCAGATGTCCAGGTGCAGGTGATCATCCAACCCTCTCGAAAAAGTCTCGCAAGTCCTCATCTAGATCTATATAAGCCAGAATCTAAGCCATCCACACGAAGGGACCTCACGAAAGGTCAAGACCACGCAGGTCACCCTCATAATCAGTCTGGATAAGACTCAGGACATAGGGTGAACACGCCGTCTTGCCTCTGCCTCTTGCTTCTTCTTCTCTTCTTCTGCCTTGCGCTTGGCCGCCTCCTCTGCGCGCGCCTTCTCGGCTTCCTCCTTCTTCTTTGCCTCCTCCAGCTTCTTGGCCTCTGCCTCTTGCTTCTTCTTTTCTTCATCTGCCTTGCGCTTGGCGGCTTCCTCAGCGCGAGCCTTCTCGGCTTCCTCCTTCTTCTTTGCCTCCTCCAGCTTCTTGGCCTCAGCCTCTTGCTGCTTCTTCTCCAGTTCCGCCTGTCGCTTGGCCTTCGGCAGCACACACAAAAGTCTACGTGGTCTAGCGGTGGCTGCTTGCACTGAGCCTGCGTCTGTAAGAGCAACATCTGGTTCATTATATGCCCGGGCGAGAACATGCAAGGCTTCAGACAACTTGAAATTCAGTCGTGCGAGTGCAAAACCTGCTGGCAGCCGCAATCGTTTCATGAACTCCCATGCCGTGTGGCCTCCGCCTCCTTCTTCTTTGCCTCCTCCTCTGAATTGCGCTTGGCCGCCTGCTCTGCGCGCACCTTCTCGGCTTCCTCCTTCTTCTTTGCCTCCTCCAGCTTCTTGGCCTCTGCCTCTTGCTTCTTCTTCTCTTCCTCTGCCTTGCGCTTGGCGGCTTCCTCAGCGCGAGCCTTCTCGGCTTCCTCCTTCTTCTTTGCCTCCTCCAGCTTCTTGGCCTCAGCCTCCTGCTGCTTCTTCTCCAGTTCTGCTTGTCGCTTGGCCTTCAGCAGCACACACACACACACAAAAGTCTGCGTGGTCTAGCGGTGGCTGCTTGCGCGGGGCCTGCATCTATGAGAGCAGCATCTGATTCACTACATGCCCGGGCGAGAACATGCAAGGCTTCAGACAACTTGAAATTCAGTCGTGCGAGTGCAAATCCTGCAGGCAGCCGCAACCGTTGCATGAACTCCCATGCCGTGTGGCCTCCGCCTCCTTCTTCTTTGCCTCCTCCTCTGCCTTGCGCTTGCCCGCCTCCTCTGCGCGTGCCTTCTCGGCTTCCTCCTTCTTCTTTGCCTCCTCCAGCTTCTTGGCCTCTGCCTCTTGCTTCTTCTTCTCTTCCTCTGCCTTGCGCTTGGCGGCTTCCTCAGCACGCGCCTTCTCGGCTTCCTCCTTCTTCTTTGCCTCCTCCAGCTTCTTGGCCTCAGCCTCTTGCTGCTTCTTCTCCTGCTCTGCCTGTCGCTTGGCCTTCGGCAGCACACACAGAAGGTAACACCAGGAATGTGTTTATGAGAGCAGCAACATCTAATTCATCTGCATGCCCACAAGAGAATATGCGAAGCTTCAGACAACTTGAAAGTCAGTCGTGCGAGTGCAAAACCTGCTGGCAGCAGCAACGTTTCATGAACTCCCATGCCGTGTGGCCTCCGCCTCCTTCTTCTTTGCCTCCTCCTCTGCCTTGCGCTTGGCAGCTTCTTCGGCGCGGGCCTTTTCAGCCTCCTCCCTCTTCTTCGCCTCCTCCAGCTTCTTGGCCTCTGCCTCTTGCTTCTTCTTTTCCTCCTCTGCCTTGCGCTTGGCGGCTTCCTCTGCGCGAGCCTTCTCGGCTTCCTCCTTCTTCTTGGCCTCCTCCAGCTTCTTGGCCTCAGCCTCCTGCTGTTTCTTCTCCAGTTCTGCTTGTCGCTTGGCCTTCAGCAGCACACACACACACACACAACAGTCTGCGTGGCAGCTTGCGGCGGCAGGATCCAACACGTATACGCACATCTCACGGGGATCATCATTCATTCATAGGTTGGGGGCAGAAGATGTGGCCTTGCCAGTGAGACCGCAGCGGAATGTTCATTCTAAGCCTCTGTGCTAGATGACTGAGATGCGCTACGACTTCGCAGTGCCCTGTTCCAGGAAGAAGCTGCAATTCAAACCAATCATTGCTCGGCATGCAAGACTGTGCATGCATTCAAGATTCAAAGGACCCTGAACGGAATCGAGCTGAGGCTTCATGATGGTTGGCAAGCTGTCAGGTTCAAGACCGGAGAAACACATTCAATCAAACTTAATAGGCTGATCCAATGCGGACCCTGTTTAGAACTACCATTGGTGACATTGTAGACCAGCTGTAGATAATGCTTGCTGTCTAGAGTCTAGACAGCACTCTAGACGAACCGATTGGACTGCAAATCTGAAGAACTGTTGCGAACGAACTCCCTACCACGGTGGGTTTCCTCTATGGTGCTTCACATGTGGATTCAGAACTGGTGAAACGGCCGAACCGGCGCCCAGACATGTACCATCACACACACACACACACTTGACACATCGTGTCGCAGGTCTGATCTGTCGGTGCATACTGTCAGGGAAAGTCAGCAGCTGTCAGGGAAAGTCAGAGGCTGCACGGGAAAGTCAGAACATGCAATCAGAAGCATTACCATAGGATACACGCGAATCACTCATGTAACTGCACATGAAACTGCACATGAAACTGCACTGCACTCCTACCCGCAATCAACAGTTATGTAGTCGCAAGCTGCACAAATGTGCCCATGCCGACCACTGCAGGTACGTTTACCTGTCTCAATATCACGGAGCTTCGTTGGCAGAGGCCGTGAAATGAGACCCTCTGCCCCCTGCTGCTTAACTCACTCACATCTCTTGGAAACAGAGTTGGACACACACAAGCCCCAAGGGGCTCCTTGCAATGTTGACGGTCGTTGCGCGCTGTTTTATCTCACCGATTTTTCCATAGGAAAGTCTTATGCTCAAGAGATCTAGGAAAGAGGGCTACGAAACTTCAGGAAACGCAGTCTGTGCACTAAGTGCAATTCGACTTCGGCTTCTTCCGCATCAGCATCGAAGTACATGCAACACTGAGTTGCAGTTTGGTACGCAGCATTGGCCAATGACACGATACTCACTCGCAAACGCTCCTGTACTAGCTTTACCACAGCTCTCATCCACCTTTTTGACGGGCTGCCCAACATGGTGCAAGCCACGGCATTGATTTGGACAAAACGGATGGTGGTATGCAAAGACTGAAAGCCCATGGTCAACTCAACCGAGGAGGACAGCCGAAATCCCTGTACCCCACGTTGCAGGAACGTGTACGCCACCATGGTGTCGGTTATGGGTTGTGCCTCTTCTGGGTCATCATTTCGATCGAGGCGAGTAATGAATGTAATTCTGGCTCTGATCGGCAACACGTACGTCAAGATGTTCTCGAGCACGTCAGAAGCGGCCCAATCCATGTTGTTCAGAATCTACACAACTTTCAGAGTGCTTGATACAAAACTCTGTTACATGTCTGACAAACGCAGCTCCCAACACCGCAGCACTTGCATATCTCTGACATGTCACTCTGCACATTTCTTGCACTGCACTTGCACGAACCTCGCACGTCCCTTGCACATCACTTGCAATCCGCTTGCACATCCCTTGCTCGTCACTTCTCTTGACATGACGCAGAGGTGGACTCTTTTTATACCGTCACAACGAAATCAACCGGTTCAAGGGTTTGGGCAGTCGTTACAGGTTCAGTAAACCGAAGATGGCGAAAGTTTTGTACAAGCTGAAAGGTGTGTAACCTAGGCCACCAGCCGAACTTCTCCCAGAGCTGCATCGCGACGAGGTATTTGGCAACGTTGATGGAATCGTTGATTGATAGCTGGATGTGGAGAGTAATAGTCTCGTGTCCGGTTGCCCGACTGCAGACACGAACCCACATCCGAAAAATGTAGTCGCGGCTCGTACTCCAAGGCAGATTGGCTTCACGGGCCTTGCGCTTCATGTTGGGCAACCTACACAATTTCACTGGATGCCAAATGCTGCAACTCAAGACGGTTCATGCAGGAAGCTGATAATGCACAGCACGGCAGACGCGCACTCTTCAGTTTCTTCCACTGTCTTTGTGCGCTCTCTCACTTTCGGTCTAAAACGTACTGCACAAGTTTCAAAGTGGACGAAAAACGCTTCCTAGGGCCTTGCTTTTCTTTGGCAATGCGTTCTCCGTGCTGTCTCAAGAAATCGAGAATGAATTGAGCTCTGTTGTGAATGAAGAAATCGTCACCAAGCACTCTCGTGCCTTCCATTCTGCGGCGAAATTGGGTACTGGGTGCAGGACGAATCTTGATGCGCACACCATCAGACCCTTCATCAATCATACGAAGTTTGCGTTTCCGCGGTGGGTCCGTCTGCAACATGTTGGTGTGCTCTGCAGCGGGCTGCTTCGGCTTTGGGACATGAACTAGTCGACCAGAGGACATAGACGTAGACTGTCGGTCAGTGGATGATGACGCATTGATACTCTCATGATCAAGAGCAAAATCAGCCGAATCAGGTTCGCTGACCAAAGTAGCACCTGATGCCACATCTGCACGTCGATCATGTTCTTGGTCCGATACTGCAAGGTCTGACGAAAAGTCGGAAGAGTGTACGTCCGATACAGAGGCAACATCGCTCTCGAAACTGGACACCGACATAATGGAAAGCTACTTATACGTTCCGAATCTGTCTTGCACTGCAGAGTACCTTGAGGACGTGAATCAAGACAATGTCTGCAAACGCTCACAACACATGGTGCCGGCAGATCGCTTGTATAACCCTTGCACATCACTTGCACATCACTCGTCCCTTGCACATCCCTTGCAACACCCTTGCAGTGACACTGGCGCACAGACCCTTCTTTGCAACTGCTCACGTTTCACTCTGAGACTTCAATCTCTGCTGGGAGCGTTGGGGGCAACTCTGTTGATTCTTGCAGCTGAAGAGAATTAACACAATGGGAAGTCACAGATTGAAGAGAATGCAAATCCGTCAGCAAGTTGCCCACCACTTCGTTGGTCTTCTGAAGTTTCTGAAACAGTTCTGTGATGGCAGACATGACTTCTGCCACCTGAGTCTCAGTGTCCCTGATTTGTGTGGTGAGCACGTCGAGTTGGGCTTGTTGGATCTTTTGAACGGAGATGGCTTCTTCGAGAAAGTGACGAAATTCACCTCTGATTGTGATCAGCTCCTGTTGTGTGTAGGAAATCCAGCGTTGAAGAGGTGCCAACGGGTCACACGCTGAGTTGCTCGACATTAGTGCAATGGGACGACACTTGAGCAGGATGCTGCAACACTGTTCTGGTATGCAATACAACATGAATGAAATGATACTCACAGCACTTGCATCCAATGCACATTCTTTCCTCACTGCAGCACTCACATGCGTCACAGATACAAGCGAAATCCTGTCACTCCGGACATACTTAGCTGAGATCAGACGATTGACTGCGTCGAAATGGGCGTGATTCACGCCTTCTGGTAGGCATGGGTTTGGATCTGATCGGAGTACCTGACGTAGCTGAAGATGTAGGTGCAGCCGACGACGAAGCGGTACTCGACACCAAAGGAGGGTCAGACACACGATGCCCCAAGCTTCCTGGTGGTGCCGGGGGGGGAAAGACGGGAGCACTGGCACTGGGCGGGGGGAAATTGGGAGGGGGAAGAGGAGGAGGGAGGGGAGGGGGAGGGAGAGGGGGAGGGCCAGGGGGAGGCAGGGGGGGAGGTGTGGCACTGGAAGATGGGTTGTCACTCCCTGCAATCGGCGCACTCCTCATTGCTGGCTGAGGGGGTGGAGGTGCATAGGGATGGGATCTGCAATTGCCACTGGACGAACGTGATCCTGAAGCTCCACTACTGCTAGGACGTTCTTCACGTAGATTTGCTCTATCCCTCTCATCCAAACGACGCAACTCTTGCTGCAGCATTCTTTCTGTACCGTCACGCACAAAAGCTGTCAATTGAAGTACAAGGGCTTGACGAAGTTGAGGTCGTGATACAAAGTTGAGCAATCTCACACGCGCTGAATGAGTGAGCATTCTCAAGAACTCATCGATGCTAGGATCCGAAGGTGGCACCGTCGGCATGCTTGCTTGCACAGATGTTCTCGTCTCTTAGCCAAAAACACTGCGATGCTGACATCTGCAAGTCTCTCACACATGACGAACTCAAATCAAGACATGCTGCATGCATGTCCGCTGTCAACTATCAACTGATAACAGACCACTTTTACCGTTTCATCAACGCTTCACACAAGCGAAATGGGTATCCAAGGTTCGCTAACCACCGTACAAAAGTATGGACAGCTACTTCCGCTTGGCACGTTGGCCAAGTGTACTTACGGATGAGAGAAATTCTCGACTTCGCACCTGACACCAGCAATCGATCGCTACCTGCACTCATGGGATGTCGAACTTGCCAAAGGAACTTGGGCTGGAGATAGTAAATCGTTCGGTTTCGGACATCGATGTCAAATCCCAAAAAGTGACCATCACCGACAGCTTCAAGTACAATCGGAGAACCATAAAAGGTCTCTTGGCTGAAGACTTGAAAAGGCACTGTTTTATGCACTTCGGTGGGTGCAATCACCAGTCTATTGTCCACATATCTTGCAAGAAAAGTGGAAGGGAAACTCGAGATCTGCGGGAACGTTGCTGCCCAACCGAGCTCAGTCATCACCACTGGAAGGGAGGAGAGGACAGGGCTGATTTGGTTACCTATGGACGTGCCATCAACTTGCTTCCACACTCGATTCAACGCCACAAACAAGCCGCATTCGAAGCTGAGACGAACAATGGTGACCAAGTCGTATGGATCAATGGTCTTCCAATCAAAGTGCCGACGTATATTGGAAATCTTCCCATGAATGGAACGAAAATGTTTGCTCTTCTCATTAATGCAAACCGACAATTTGACATCAGGGTGTCTTGCAGTGAACATACGAACCAACA